GAAAATGTGTGTTGTAGATGCTTTGCACGTCCACAAGTGGGAGAGTGCGATAGGTGTTAAGCAAGTCTGCTTCATTATCAACAACTTCACGGACAAGTCACTGTTACATGATGGCCAGCGGACTGATGGCTGTCTGCATGAGAACTGTATTCCTAAAAACTCCGTATGTTTGCTAGGTTTTCTCTTGAACCTAAATTCGTGCATGAGGTAGGTTCTGGGAAGATATACGCTGTACAAAAGGAGAGTTTTCAAGAGATGTGACACTGCTCTGAGGCGGAGCGCAGTAAGAAAGGCAGAAATCCGTCATTTTGCTTGGTTTCCCAGGCCTAGATTCGTCGGGTGTGACCATTTCCGGCCAATCGGTTCCAGGATATTCTCACAAAATAAAAGCGTACAGCAATCTCGCTGGCCGGTCGGTGTGGGGAGTGTTTCAGGCTTTGAATGAATCAAGTGTATCACCATGAACGAACGGCCTTTCTTAGTGCATAATTTGAGTTTAAAAAAATAGTGTTGGAGGTGGAATTTTCAGCACGTTTTACTTGCCTTGTTTCCGTTCAGTGTGGATTACTCCTTTCTTATCTCTCCCTATCTGCACAGGGTGTTCCCCGAGCCGTCTGTGAATGCCAACACAACACTTGCGGACACAATTGTGAAAAGTGCTGTCCCCTCTTCAACCAACAGCCCTGGCGTCCCGGAGGCATGTGCGAAGGTGAGTTAACTCTGCTTGCTGCGAACTGACCGTGCAGTCTTATGAAATGAGAACCAAAGTTGTTGTAATTCGGCAAGACAATGATTAGACCATCAGACTTCTGATAAAAAGGACGCGGGCTGGAGTCTCGGCTGGGGCATCACTTGGCGTTGGGTATGACTGGCTGATGACGGCTGATGCGCCAGAAATGGCCATTTCAGTCTCCTTTGTTTTTGTCAGAACTGCTATCTGCCTAGCACTACCAGCCGCTACGGCTGCTGACGGGACTCGAACGTGAATCTCCCAGGCAGAGCGGGACAAGTGAATTTCGTTTGCGATGGGTGGATCTTAATGGCCAAGTATTCTGCAATGTAGGAGAAAGTTCACTTTCCGGGTATTTGCATT